AGACAAAGGCAGGGGTTGTCACCCCCCTTCCCCTGCTGGGGAACCCTGATAAGGGTGCTGAGCCCGGCCCAGCATCCGGCCAGGGAAGGAAAACACTAAAATTATCTGGGATGAGCTTCCCGGGGCACCAGGAATCTGCTTTTGGGGTTGGGGTTTGCTAATTTCTTAGATACAGTGCACTATTCTATTTTGTGCTAGTATTTTATGCCATTTATACTATTTTATAATTATACTAAATTAATATTATTAATATTAATACTATATTAAGATAATATAGAATTAATATATAATATAAATATATATTAATATATAATATAATATTATATTGGTCATTAAGCATACATATAATATATATGTTTATATATATAAAATATATATATTATATAGTAATAATATAATATAGTATTAATAATAAATTTTATATTACATATTCATATATCAATATTATATATTAATACTTATATATTTTCTTAATATAGTATTAATATATATTAATTATATATAGTATACTATATAAATTATTAATATATATTAAATATATAATATTAATATATATTGATATATAATATAATATTAATATATATTGATATATAATATAATATTATATTATTAATACTATATTAATGAACATTATTAATGAACATTATTAATTAATAATACTATTGATAATATTTATATTATTATTAATATTATTAATAATGTTTGTCAAGAAAATTGGTGTAGTATGATTAATTATATTATATAATATTTATATACTTATTTATAGTTTTATATAATATTTATGCTATTATACTAATTATACTATTTATACTATTTTATACTCGCAGTTTTTAGCTTCTACATGTGTAATAAATAACTCTGATGAAGATCTTTCATCTATTCCCTCCTTTCTTCATTTATCATAATAAATAATTCAGCTCACATAAACAGACCTGATCTGCCACCATCAGGAGCTGTGAGACAAAACGATTTAATCCCCCAGCTCTGTAATTCCCGGGATTTAAACCCAATCCCAGGCTGAGGTGGGATCCAGGACTCACCTGGCAGTGGTTCACTTGGGCATAGACGGTCGTCAGCTCCTGCCTGGGCCCTGCAAGGAGGGAAAAGCAGGAGGTTGGCGAGGGAGAGGCTGCAGAGGATCCCCCTGGGTGGGTCCTGGATGCTCCTCGCCCAGGGAAGGAGGGAATTCCAGCCTGGAGCATCCAGGCTCAGGTGAAATCCTGATCCCGCAGCTCCTCGGAGGTTTCACTGTGGACCTGGATCAGGATATTCTGGTCTCATCCCAGAATCCTCCTGTGGGACACTCGCTCCCAGCTCAAAGGACAGTGAAAATCAGCTGGTTTTGTTTAAATCCCAAAATCCTGGGATGTTTTCAGAGGACAAGCTGCCTTTGTCTCCCCTTCACGCCTTGCAGAGGGAATTAACGCCCGGCTCACGGAGCAGAGGGGATTTAAATCCTTCATAATCTCATTTTTGGGTCAAAACTTCTTGTTTGAAGCGCGGGAGAAGGAGCCAGGCGGGCTCCAGAGGGAGGGTTTGCCAACAGTTCCCTACGGAAGAGCAGGATCCAAGTTTTCATCCGCTGAGTGAGCCCTGAAGTCCCGCTTGGAAACACGTGAGGGTGAAAAACACGAGGCAGCGGCTTTATTTTGGGTCAGGGAAACAATAAAAAACACTCCAGAGGCAAAAAGCAAAGTAAAAACCACCTCAAAGACCTGCTGGGATCAGTTCATTCCCAGCAGAGGTGGGAATGGCCCAGCCCTGGATTCCAGGGAGGTGGGAATTGCTCCAGAGGTCTCTCCTTCCAATGGGTTTGTTGACAGGACAAGGGGAAACGGCCTCAAGCTGTGCCAGGGGAGGCTCAGGTTGAACACGAGGAGGAATTTCTTGCTGGAAAGGGTGGACTCGACGGCCTTGGAGTTTTTTTCCAACCTCAGCGATCCTGGGATTCTGGAATTCTTGGCTGAGTGGTACAGCCGAGCTCCCATCTCGTCTCTGCCCTCCCAGTTCTCCCTTTCCAGCTCTTTTCTTTCCCCCCAGATCCCTCTGGCTTTCAGGACCTCACAGCTCTGCTCTCAATCCCTTTCCTGCTGGGTCTGGCAGGAAGTTTTCTGGGAAAGGGAAGGGAGAGGGTGGCTCCAGCCAAGGTGACATCCCCTGGGATTGTCCCCTTCCCTCCCCTCCGGGGTGGAGGTGTCGGGGTCCCTCAGCCAGGGAACCAACCCCTGGCAGTGGAGGATTTCCCTCCTGATCTTAAATGTGACCAGGCTGTTCCCAGCAGGAAAAAGGGAAGGAACATCCCCCAAGTCCCACCTGTGTCCGTATCCTCGGCCGCAGACAAACGGAAAATCCTCCAACCTGGGGGAAAAGCGACACAGGGAACCATCAGCAGCGGCCCCAAATCAGCCCCTGGGTGCCCCGGTCCCCTCTCAGGCACCAGCTCCTGCTTTGCCAGGGCTCCAGGGATGGTTTTCCAAGGGGGATCCAGCTCACCTTTGGATCTACAGCAGAACACAGCGACTAAAAGAGCCACGAGCCCGGTCACCGTCAGGGCGAGGATCAAGGTCAGAGGGATGCTGGCGGTGGCTGGAGGGAGAAAAGGGTCCGGTAAAAACATCCCCGAATAGATCCGACCCTTCCTGGCACCGGGGCACGGGGAACCTGGCACAGCTCTGCCCCAACACCCCCCGAACCCTCGGCACCACAACCCAGCCCGGCAAAGGGGACGAGCGGCTGGGCAGGAGCAGCAGCAGCACAAGGACACTCCCGGCCCGGCCCCTCCCGGCCACGGCCACCCTCGATGGTCCTTGGACCTCCGGGGACCTCCGGGGGGGCTTTTGGGGCACCAAATCCCACGTTGGGATTTCCACCCCCGCCCCGCCCTCGGCTCTGCAGCACCAACGGATCCGCTGCTCCCACCCCAAAGCGGGAATTTTGGGGGGCACCCGCCCTGCCCGAATTCCCCCGGGGGGGGGCACGGACGGCACAGGGGTGCCCGGGGCACTGCCCAGAGAGCCCGAAGGGAGGAGATGGGCCGGGCTGCTCTCGGGGTCTCCATCTCCCCTGTGCCAGCCGGGCACGGGGAGCTGCCCGGGGCACGGGGGGACACGAGGGGCGAGGGTGGGCACGCACGGGGGGGTTGGCAGCTCACCAGTGGGGAGAGGGTGGGTTGCGTTTTCTGGGTGCACCGAGAGGGGAGAGAACAGGGAGAGAAGAGGGAGAGAGGGGAGAGAAGAGGGAGGTCGGTCAGTGCCCGTGCCGGGGGTGCCGCTTCTCCCCGCACACCCAGCACAGCTCGGGGGCAAAGCTGGAGCCGCGGGGAGCGGGACCCAGCCCAGCCCAGCGCCCTGCCCG